TACATGGTTAGATTCAGCATATCAAAGAACCCCATAAATTCAATTTTTGTTGAAATCAAACAAAGTTTAATTTTGGACCCCAATTTGGACCAACTTGGAAACTGGGCCAAAAATCTAAATACATGTTTAGATTCAGCATATCAAAGAACCCCATATATTCAATTTTTGTTAAAATCAAACAAAGTTTAATTTTGACCCCAACTTGGACAAACTTGAAAACTGGGCCCATAATCAAAAATCTAAACACATGTTTAGATTCAGCATATCAAAGAACCCCAAGAATTCAATTTTTGTTAAAATCAAACTAAGTTTAATTTTGGACCCTTTGGACCTTAATGTAGACCAATTTAAAAAACGGGACCCAAAATTAAAAATCTAAATACACGGTTAGATTTGGAATATCAAAGAACCCCAATAATTCAATTTTTGATGAAATCAAACAAAGTTTAATTTTGGACCCTTTTGACCTCAATATGAACCAATTTGATAGCGGGGCCCACAAATAAAAAATCTAAATACATGGTTAGATTCAGCATATCAAAGAACCCCAAGAATTCAATTTTTTTAAAAATCAAACTAAGTTTAATTTTGGACCCTTTGGACCTTAATGTAGACCAATTTAAAAAACAGGACCCAAAATCAAAATTCTAAATACGCAGTTAGATTTGGCATATCAAAGAACCCCAAAAATTCAATTTTTGATGAAATCAAACGAAGTTTAATTTTGGACCCTTTTGACCTCAATATGAACCAATTTGATAGCGGGGTCCACAAATAAAAAAACCTAAATACATGGTTAGATTCAGCATATCAAAGAACCCCATAAATTCAATTTTTGTTGAAATCAAACAAAGTTTAATTTTGGACCCCAATTTGGACCAACTTGGAAACTGGGCCAAAAATCTAAATACATGTTTAGATTCAGCATATCAAAGAACCCCATATATTCAATTTTTGTTAAAATCAAACAAAGTTTAATTTTGGACCCTTTGGACCTTAATGTAGACCAATTTGAAAACTGGACCCAAAATTAAAAATCTAAATACAGGGTTAGATTCGGCATAACAAATAAATAAATGTGGTCAAAGATTTTACAAATCTAGTGTGCCATACTGTGCAATTAAAGATTACTTCTTGAAATTTTTCAATATTTGAAATTTGAAAAAAAAATAATATTTGAAGAATAATTCTTTTTAATTTCTGAAATCTGAAATGAGAAAAAATTGACCCCCCACAATTTCTTTTTAACCCCCCCCCCCCTTTTCCCCAAAAAAAATTCTTTCCCTCAAGATATGGTCATAATCTCAATTCAAATTTCCAATAGAGTTTGCAACCATAATTACCCATTTAAATTTACCATAGTGCTAACTTAATCTATTTTATAATAGAATTTAAAATATAGTGTCAAATCTTTCATATGGATTTTTTTGTAAAAAAAAAAAAGATGCAACATTTGCAGATATTTTTACTGGTCTTCCTTTATAAATATGCATTTCTTTAAACATAATTTAAAAGCAGTGTAAAGGAAGTAACCAAAACGTTGTATTTGGATTACCTCCCTTACACTGTTTTAAATTATCTTAATTGTTCATTAATCATTACTTTATACATAATTTAAAAGCAGTGTAAGGGAGGTAATTTCAATGATGTATTTGATTTATCTCCCTTACACTGCTTTAAATTATGTTTTGTACTAAAGTATTTGTCCATTAACCAGGACAACCTTGTTTTTCCCTCTTTTTTGCCCCTAATTCCTAAACGGTTTGAGCCATAACCCCCCAAAGCAAATCCTAACCATCCCTTTGTGGTATGGAAACTTGGTAGTATAATTTCAGAGAGATCCATACACGGTTCCACAGTTATTGTCTGGAAACTAGAAAATGCTTATTTTTGGCCCCTAATTCCTTAACTGTTGGTACCATAACCCTCAAAATCAATCCCAACCTTCTTTTTGTGGTATTTAACCTTATGGTAAAATTTCAAAGAGATCCATTCACTTAAACTAAAGTTAGAGTGCAAAAACCAATGTGTCTTTGGACGACGACGACGATGCCGGAAGACGAAGACGCCAACGTCATACCAATATACGAGCGCAAAAATTTTTTGCGGTTGTATAAAAACTGCATTTTACCCCTATGTTCTTTTTTTAGCCATGGCGGCCATGTTGGTTGGCAGGCGGGGTCGTCAGACACATTTTTTTAAACTAGATACCCTAATGATGATTGTGGCCAAGTTTGGTTAAATTTGGCACATTAGTTTCAAGGGGAAATTTTTGTAAATGTAAACGGAAGACGACGACGGGTACTATACTTGTGGCAGAATGGCACTTCTTCCTGTTCAAACTTGTCTAACTAAATTAAAATTACTATAACCTTACTGTCTTGGGGCCCAGACACATATAAAACTCACTTTACAAATATATTCCTACTATCCCTCAGCTTAACAACCTTTAAAAATACACATGCTATAGCGCTCAACAAGATTTTGTGTGGGAAACAAATTTCCGCCTTAAAAATGATCAAATTACTTTTAATGATTAAAAAAAAATAGGCAGATTGGTCATATTTTGACTTCATTTGACTTTGAAAGATCCAAATGTTAAGGATTTTTAATTGGAATGAGATTATCTGTAACAGCCTTATTTTGTATCTGGTTTGGAACATAAACTGTTATCACAGAGATATGTCTCACTTTTGTAATTTTGATTATGCAAATGTTGAAATTAAAATAGCAATACTTTAACATGTTTCATAAGTTATGCAAATATTCAAAGTCAATGAACCATGACTGAGGTACATGGCTAAACAATCTCCATGTAAATGAGATGTGCCAAAGCTAATACAACTGCATACCAAATACCATTGACTTATTATAAGTCGTTCCCTTTAAACAAACCTTAACACAGACATTAATTTGTAAACTATGTAAAAGTTTCAAAGTCAATGAACCATGAAGAGGGGGTGGGTCTATATAATCTCCAAGGAAACCATACTTGCAAATGCCAATAAATTTGCATACCAAATATCATTGACTTAACATTAGCAGTTCATCTTAAACTGATCTAATCACAAACTAATACATGTAAACTAAGCAAAAGTTTCTAAGTCATTGATAGACCATGACTGAGGGGGCGGGGCCAAATATTCTCCATGGTAATGAGATGTACTAATGCTTATACAACTGAATACCAATTAACATTTGCCTACCCTAAATGGTTCCCCTTGAACTGACCTAATCACAAACTAATACATGTTAACTTAGCAAAATTTTCAAAGTCAATAGACCATGACTAAGGGTGCGGAGCCAAATTATCTCCATGGAAATGAGATATGCCAATGCTTATTAAACTGCATACCAAATATCATTGACCTACCACTAGTGGTTCCCCATAAACTGACCTAATCACAAACTAATACATGTAAAATAAGCAAAAGTTTCAAAGTCAATAGACCATGACTGAGGGGGCAGGGTCAAATAATCTCCATGGAATTGAGATGTGCCAATGCTAATACAAATGCATACCAAATATGATTGACCTACCACTTGTGGTTCACCATAAACTAGACCTAATCACAAACTAATACATTGTTGACGACGCCACCGGAAACAGCATACCTATGTCTCGCTTTTTGACTCCGTTAAGGCGTGACAAAAATGAGGATCATTGTAGAGGTAGAGGACCCTCCATATACCATTCCTGCTGTTTGGTTGAAATTGGCAAGGTAGTTTCAGATATGGAGATTAAAAAGACATTTTCCACTGGGTTTCGACAGAAACTATGTGCCACCTAATCATTATTAAATGAGGACTATGTGTAGAGAATATTCCAATCCCATATAGTTCCAAGCATTTTGACTTTATGCTTTAAAAGAATTTGGAACATTGACCTACCAGAAAGGTTGCCTCTTGCAGTCATGTTTTTCATGTGGTTAGATTTTATTAAAAGATCCTGCATATACTGTAATTTCAGAAATTATTGCAATGTTTTTTTATTATCGCAACTTGATAGATGTCACAATAATCAAAACTGACATTTTTTATTTTGGATGCAGCATTTCCTCTTGTCGCAATAATTAAATGAGATAGATGTCGCAAAAATCAAAATTGACATTTTTTATTTTGATAGAATCATTTGGATGCAGCATTTCCTCACATCCAATAATTAAACTCGCATTTGTGTCCTTTGGTGAACAATCACAATATTAATACACAGGAAAAATTGCAACATAACATTTTTCGTGTGTTTTATATATCATATAAAAAACATATGAATTTCATGTTTTTCATATGTTTCGTGCTACATATGAAAAACATGTGTTTCAAAACATATGTTTATCATATGTTTTTCATATGATTTTATATGATCAATACATGTTTTTCATGAGGGGTTCTGAAATCTGACATACGTTTTCATATGTTTTTGAACATATGAAAAATATATGTTGCAATTTTTCCTGTGTATATGACAGCAATAATTTCTGAATTTACAGTATTACTGCAAAGTTTGAGTTAAATTCAGGAAAGTGTTCCAGAAAAAAAGATGAAAGTGTGGAAGTATATAAATAACAGATGCCAAGTGATGGCAACAGCTCAACTGGTCACTTTGGCTAAAATGTTCCTATGTCCCTCTGACAGACCAACAAGCCAGGTGATTCTGATCATAGGTTTTCCAGTGGACAGAATTAGGCATTAAAAATTACCACTTTAAATACTATTGGATAGTTAAATGACTAGCAAGTTACTATTATTGTAAATCTTTCAATCACAAATCTTGAATTTTTTTCAGGATCATATACATTTTTTTTGAAATTCCAAACAATCTTGATTATGACTTTGATTTTACATAAAGACATTTCAAGTTATATGCAGTATTCAATTTAAACATATTTATAAGACAAGTCTACATGGAACTAAATATCACTTCTACTAGTGGTTTACAATGAAATTGTCTGCTTTCAAATTGAGAAAGTTATGAGTTAATAGACAGACCTAAATAAATGTACAACAAAGCATATATCTTTAATACTATTTTTTTTTTACAAAACTCAATTGGACAGTAGAACAGAAACATTTCCATTTTACATAATAACTATGAAGTCTTGTTGATCAGATAAGTGACAATGCCAATTCGCCAATTAATGTTAAAAGAATTACAAATGCATAAATGTTTTCCTGATATCTAATATATACCTGTTTTTCTTTTAATAATAAACATGTCCAACATTTTCAGATCTGTTTTCATTAAAGAAGATTTAGTTTTCAAATTATATATGCACCACATCAAGTAGCTAATTCCTTAATCATTTAATAAATAAAAATATATAATTTAATGTTTATACTATAAGTCTAACAATATAACTCTGGGATCTTCAACTGCTGATTTGATTTTCTTCAGGAAAGTAACAGCTTCTCTGCCATCAATGAGTCGATGATCATAAGTCAAGGCTACAACCATTATCGGTCGAATTTCAACCTGTAAAAATCAAATAAAAATCACATTATTTGTTAATGTTGATTTTTGCATGATTCTATTTATAGCTAAAAAGATTTCTGTTCAATCACTAAATTGGACTGACTAATGTCATAGCTAGCCAACATTAAAGGGATATTGTGTCCCTTGGATTAAGAAGTAAATAAATGTACCATTTCTTCCCTTTTAACTGTCACAATGTTAACTCATTACTGACCTATCAAATGGTTTCATATATTACCATTGACCATTTAAAATGTGGAGAACACAAAACAAGTCAAAATCAAATGTGGACAACACTGAACAAGTCAAAATCAAATGTGGAGAACACAAAACAAGTCAAAATCAAATGTGGAGAACACACAAGAGGCTCTCAAGAGCCTGAATCGCTCACCTGTATTTCAGAGGAAAAGATTTTTAAATGTTAGCAAACTTGAACAAATGGTGTAAAATTGTCTTTAAAGGGCAATAACTCCTTAAGGGGTCAATTGACAATTTTGGTCATATTAACTTTTTTGTAGATCTTACTTTGCTGAATATTATTGCTGCTTACAGTTTATATATATCTATAATAATATTCAAAATAATTACAAAAAACTTCAAAATTTTGTTAAAACTACCAATTCAGTGGATGCAACCCAACAATGGGTTGTTCGATTCGTCTGATAATTTCAGGGCCGATAGATCTCGACCAATTAAACAATTTTACCCCATGTCACATTTGCTCTAAAAGATTTAGTTTTTGAGATATAAGCCAAAAACTGCATTTGACCCTTATGTTCTATTTTTAGACATGGTGGCCATGTTTGTCCATGGATACAAACTTCAGTTACAATTTATAAACAAGATACCCTAAGAAACATTTAGTTAAAGTTTGAAGGTAATTGGCCCAGTATTTTCAGAGGAGAAGATTTTTAAATGTTAGCAAACTTGATGAACAAATTGTGTAAAATTGTCTTTAAAGGGCAATAACTCCTTAAGGGGTCAATTGACAATTATGGTCGTATTAACTTTTTTGTAGATCTTACTTTGCTGAACATTATTGCTGCTTACAGTTTCTATATATCTATGATAATATTCAAAATAATAACAAACAAGAGGCTCTCAAGAGCCTGAATCGCTCACCTGTATTTCAGAGGAGAAGATTTTCAAATGTTAGCAAACTTGATGAACAAATTGTGTAAAATTGTCTTTAAAGGGCAATAACTCCTTCAGGGGTCAATTGACAATTTTGGTCATATTAACTTTTTTGTAGATCTTACTTTGCTGAACATTATTGCTCCTTACAGTTTATATATATCTATAATAATATTCAAAATAATAACAAAAAACTGCAAAATTTTGTTAAAACTACCAATTCAGTGGATGCAACCCAACAATGGGTTGTTCGATTCGTCTGATAATTTCAGGGCCGATAGATCTCGATCCAATTAAACAATTTTACCCCATGTCACATTTGCTCTAAAAGCTTTAGTTTTTGAGATATAAAGCAAAAACTGCATTTGACCCCTATGTCCTATTTTTAGCCATGGCGGCCATGTTTGTCCATGGATACAAACTTCAGTTACAATTTATAAACTAGATACCCTAAGGAACATTTAGTTAAAGTTTGAAGGTATTTGGCTCAGTAGTTTCAGAGGAGGAGATTTTTGAAATAGTTTACGACGACAGACGCCAAGTGATGGCATAAGCTCACATGGGGCCAAGGGCCCCGGTGAGCTAAAAACAGGTCAAAATCAAATGTGGACAACACTGAACAAGTCAAAATCAAATGTGGAGAACACTGAACAAGTCAAAATCAAATGTGGAGAACAAAAAACAAGTCAAAATCAAATGTGGAGAACACAAAACAAGTCAAAATCAAATGTGGAGAACACTGAACAAGTCAAAATCAAATGTGGAGAACACAAAACAAGTCAAAATCAAATATGGAGAACACTGAACAAGTCAAAATCAAATGTGGAGAACACTGAACAAGTCAAAATCAAATGTGGAGAACACAAAACAAGTCAAAATCAAATGTGGACAACACTGAACAAGTCAAAATCAAATGTGGAGAACACTGAACAAGTCAAAATCAAATGTGAAGAACACAAAACAAGTAAAAATCAAATATGGAGAACTCTGAACAATTCAAAATCAGACTCCATAAAGGCTAAAAAAGAAAAGGTTAAGGATATTTCCTTAAGCTACTAATACTTTCTTTCAATATACTTAATTCTGACAATTCAAATGTACCGTTTTACTATTTTAATTGTAAGAGACATATATTTCAATAGGTTAAATAAGTCTTTCCAAAAACAAGTATAAAATATATTTTGGTTTAGCATTTGAGTGCTAGATGAGTTGTTGGAAGAAAAATGAATCGACATTTTCAGAAATTTTTTTAATTTTTTTTTTTATCAAATTATGGAGAAAGTATGAGAAACTTGTGTGCATTTAACATTATGAATCTTTACGATCACAAATAATGCAAGATCAATGTGATTCTTGTAAGCATTATAGAAAAATAAGAATTGCAAAACTAAGATGCTAATTCAATGACTATCTAAGCATGACTGTCATTAAATTTTGTTTTTAAGTTCATGTCTCTGTCCCCATTGAGGAACTTTATTCAATGTCTTTGGTTGTTAGATGGTCTCATTGACATATAACCTTCATCTCCTTTTGCTTTGGAGTCATTAATATTCAGGAAACCAATTTTTTGTCGAAAGCAGAAACAGAGAATTTAAATACTGTGCAAATTACTTATGTTTAGTTACTTTGATAGGAGCTAATGATGAAACTACTATATAAGGTACCTGTGAAACAGCAAATTATTCTCCAACCATATAAAATTAAATAAATCCATAGTACATGTATTCAAAAAGGATGACTTTATATTTCAAAATTCAAAAGGAAAATAATCTCACAGACATTATACGTGTCATACCTGTTGGATACGCTTGAACATGTCTAACTGCCAGGTGTGCCAATAACTGCAAGATTTACAATGTCAAAGCCAAGACTAAAGTATTGCTGAATGGTAATTTGTCATATAATAAACATGTTGCATGTAACATGAAAGTGAAATGTAGCATATTACCTTTCCATTAATTGCTACAGGTTTATCATTTACAGCATGCATTCCTAAAATAGCTGATTGTGGTGGATTAATTATAGGTGTTCCAAACAAAGAACCAAATACACCACCATTACTTATTGTAAATGTTCCACCTTCCATATCTTCTATTGCTAAACTTCCTGTCCTTGCCTGTAAAATTAAGATACTGGAATTACTTCCCTTTAGTAAAATTCTTACATCTGCAGTTTATGGTGCTGACAATTTTAAGAAAGATGGCTTATTGTCACTGCCTAGGCAATCACAAAAAACATTAAATTGTTACTGTAAAACTAGAGGCTCCAGGGAGCCGGTGTCTCTCAATTGGTAGCAATCCATAATATTGACTACCTGGTAATGTTTCTGTCAGATTTAAACAAGACGCTCATAGAAGCCGGATTCTCTCACATTGCAAAATTATGCCATACTGATATTCATTTTCACATGTCTCCATCCACATTTCCCTCAAGAACCAAATTATTTATTTTCCAAAACAGATTTTTGAGTTCATTCAAGTGAAATGAAGGAAAAGATTTTTTCTCTTCCAGGGTCACACCATTTACTTACATAAAAGTCAGGAAAAAACCTATTTACAAATATGCCATTACCCCCAATTTCTATTTTTAGTCGTGGCGGCCTTTGTGATTGCTAGATGGAAATATAATTCTTAAAATAAATTCTGCACACACAAAGGATCATTCATGTAAACTTTGGTTTAAATTTTAGCATTTTATTTTCTGTTGATCTATAATAGTTTTCTAGACAATATGTGAAAACACTAAAATTGGTAAAAACAAAATATCAACAACTTCTATACGGAGGTCATTTGATGGTTTCACTCTTTGGACATTTTTGTAGATTTTGCATTGCTGATCATTTTTGCTGTTCATGAATTCTTTTTCCATATAATAGTTCAATAATAAGTCAACACAAGACAGAGCGCACTATGACAATAAGATTTTAGATAGACAAAACTACAGATCATAAAACACAGAAAACTGTCTTTGATATGATATGACTTTATACTCAAGACACAAAAAAAAAATTGAAAAAAATTGAAAAAATAAAACCACATCAGTGGAAAGTTCAATATTTGCTATTCTGATCTTTTTTTGTAGCCTTCCAAACTCAAAGAATAAGAATGTTTTCTGACCATAACTACATAATGGCATTGTAATACTATCTTGTCTACTGAGTTATCTTTGCACCATATTGTGAGCAAAAAAAAAGACCTTAATGCTCATAGTCCTTTTACCTTTTCACCTAATGATGCTATTTCTTTTTCTATATCTGCATAATTCATATTTTCTACACTTCGTATAACAGGCACCACTAAACCCTGAAAAATATATAAATATTTTACAAATGAACCTGTGCATGTAAAATACAATCATATGTCAGTTTCTGTATTTCACATGATCCAAATAGACAACTTATATCATTGTGTATCCAAGTACAACAGATATTGTTGTTAACTGGCAAACATTAGATCATTCACTTCAATTCTGGATTTACTAAGCAGGGCCCAAGAGGTGATTTACTTTTCTCTCATGCAATACATGGTATAGAAAACACTTCCTGTTATTGCATTACATTGTTGCAAAAATGAATTGGAGGCCATTGAAAGCAATATCCAATGTAAAGGGAAGATTCTATCAGTTAGGCTAAAGGTACCAAAGAAGTGTTTCTTTTTCATGGGGGCCAAATTTCCTCTATCCTGTATGAAGCTAACAATAGTACTCTGTCAAGGTTCATCTGAACTATTTTACAAAAAAAGCTGTGTTGCCACCACATAATTTACTCTGAATACAGTCATACCTATGCAGTAATAAAATCTTTTAAGACGAACACCACCCATATATAGATATAAAAGTTATACACTTTCCTGTATTTTAATGGGCATTTTTATCGTTCCTGCAGAAAGTGTAAAAATAATCTAAGTTGGGTTAAATCTTTTAGATGTCCCCACAGGTAACGTTGTTTTTATTGATATGGATAATGGAATACAATAGACATCTGCACAAAAATGGGTGATTTAACTTAGTGGACAGTTTAAAAAAAATCAGGTGTTTGTTTATTTTACCATCTTCTGCAGTGATGAAAAAAAAAATAATCTCAAAATCAAAAGAAAGAGTTTATTTTTCTGAGACACAAAATGCATTTTAATTTTATTTATCTAGGTGAAGCAAGGCCTTAAAACTTTTCCTGCAGCACAGGTTAGTTTAAACTTAGTGTCATTTCAAGGTGTAAACACCACTACATTTATTTGTGTCTAATTGTTATCATGAACAATTCTAGCAATTAAGTTCATTTCCTTTTATATTCCAAGGTTTATCAACTAAATTTTCCATATCTAAGCCCTAAATGGTTTCGAAGTATAAATCTTAAAACTGCATACTAATAAATCTTAAATATCAATCAAACCAAATTAGTCATGACATGATGATTTAAAATATTACAATAGGAAAAGTGGAACAGAATGACAAGAAATTTGATCTTTTTGTAGAAAGGATCTAGTACAAAATAAGAAAGCATAATTTATCATGCCTTTTAACTTGTCGGTTACTGAGGGTTCATCTGACCAATTTTTCTATTATTTTTTGTAAGTTTGTTTACGAAAAAGTCTGGGCTTATTTATCATGTCATTTAAGTTGGTTTCTGGTATTTTCATTTAACTACGTAAATCTTTAGTCATACAATGAATTATTTACATACTTGGTTCAGTATTCTAAAGTTAGCAACAAGACTTAAATTCAAAACATTACATGATTTTTTGAACGAAAAGTGAGTTCCCTGAGATTATATAGGAAAGGGAAAAATTCTGAATACTGACCTAGTATTTATCACCTTGACATACAAACCATGTGATTATAAAGTATCTACTGATATAGTTCTTAAAAAGTACATAAGAACCCAAGATCATAAATCATGGTCAACTAAGTTTATGTTCAACGAGGATGACCATCTTCTTTGCCGATGTTATATATACTTCCTTGTAAGAAGTTACACAAGAAATAAATCAACCGTGATCCACAGTTTTCCGGAGTACCTTTGGCGTTGATACTGCTACAGAAATGTCAATGTAGTCTCTATATGAAATTTCTTTATTGTCTATCACAGCATTTACAACGGGTTGATCAGTTAGAGCATAAGCTGATGCTTTCACAAAAGCTGACATGAATCCTAGTTTAAGTCCAAATTTCTTTAGAAAGGTTTCTTTATACTGCTTTCTCAGGTCTATTATATTACTAAAAATACAATGTTACAAATGTTAACTCAATGATTCTTAACAATAAAACAAATTATCAAACATTTTTTAAATAATATACTGTGGATCATTATTGTTGGATACCAATTTTCGTGGATTTTGTGGGTACAGGGGAACCACAAACTCAAATGCTAATCGAAATACAAATATTATATATGAATATATCAGACTTTGCCAAAATCACGAAATATAATATTCATGAAAATTGGTACCCACAACAGTTTGAAATAAGTTGGTATATTACAAAAAGATTTGTAATCTTAAATGTCATGCAATAACCTTTTTATTACATGTAATATATTCTGTGCAATTCCAGACAAGAAAAAAAAGTGGGTTTTTTTTACAAGATAAATAGTGTTTTTTTGACTGTTGTTATTGTTAATTCAAGTGTGTTTTGTATGAAATGACAACATACTCAAAATCATCTACCCCGCCTACAGACGGTTTCCGTTAATAATTTGAAAAAAAGTTCATGTGACTTAACTAGAACATTTGCAACTGGAAGCTGCAAGACTACTGTCACTTGTTTACCAATATTTATCAATTCTGATGTTATTCACAAAGAACTTTTGTTTGGAAACTCTTAAAAAATGCACTTACATGATTTAACGACAAAAATTAATTGTTTTTATAGCATTCAAAATGAAAATGCTATTCAGAGAGATCCATACACTGTTCCACAAGTTATTGTCATGAAACTAGAAAAATGCTTATCTGGGCCCCTTTTTGGCCCCTTATTCCTAAACTGTTGGGACCATAACCCCCAAAATCAATCCCAACCTTCCTTTTGTGGTTATAAACCTTAGGTTTAAATTTCATAGATTTCTATTTACTAATACTAAAGTTATTGTCCGGAAACCAAATGTCTTTGGACGACGACGACAATGTGATACCAATATACGACCCCCAATTTGCGGTCGTATAAAAATTGCTTACCTATTACAACTCAACATTATGAAGCTGCAGACCAAATATAAAATCATTCCCTTTCAAAGAAGACAAGAAAACTTTAAGGAAAATTTTGTACAATGAGTGTTGTAAAATTTCAAACTATTGGAAAACAGGAAGTGGCTGCAGGTCAGATGTAAAAATTGCTTTCCCAATACATCTCAACATCATGAAGCTGAAGACCATACATTAAATCAGTCCCTTTGATAGAAGGCCAGAAAAGTTTGACTATGGTTTTCTTCCTTATTAGGTCTTTCAGACCATGGAATCGATATTATTAGGTTATTTGAGCTGCTTTTGCTTACGCAGGTAAAAAGCACACATATTTTACAGTTAATCACTGTCAAGCTACTGACCAAGTATGAAGTCATTCTGTTCAGTATTAATTGACAAAAGTGGGATAAAATAAATGGGGAATGTGTCCATGGGACACAGATGATGCCCCCACTTGCATACAACCTTATAAAGGGACATAACTCAAGAATGGTAAAAGTGACGCTATCCAAATTCATCTTGATCTGAGTTTTATGGTAATAAGCATTGTGTATAAGTTTCATAATATTTGGTTGAGGCAAACTTTAGTTAGAGAACAGAAACGAAAAATTCAGCAATTTTTCCATTTGTAAAGGGGCATAACTCTAGAATGGTATAAGTGACACCACCAAAATTCAAACTTGATCTGTGTTTTGTGGTAATAAGCATTGTGTATAAATTTCATAATATTTGGTTGAGGCAAACTAAAGTTGAAAAAGGAAACCAATTTATGGACGGAGGTACAGACAGACAAGGGTAAAACTTAATGCCCCCTCCGCTATGGCGGGGGAATAAAAAAAGATGGTTTGAACTAGGTGAATGGAATATAGCCCCAACTCCTACTACATGTACTAACAAAACCTTGCAATTGCATGCAAAATCAATACCCTTGCATTTACAGCTGCAAGTTACTATCCCAAAAGTTCACTCTTCATAAAACTTTTACTTATGTAATTATGAAAACAAACTCAAAAAACAAGTACCTCCAGTACCCAAATAAATTTGTCCATTCTCCATAACAATAAAACATAATAGCATACATCTCAAGCCATTGGGAACTTTTTTACAGTCCAAACTGAGCATGAGAGACAAAACTCTTTAAATATATATAAGACTTTTTAACCACTCCCATATAAATGAATAAAGCAACTATCAGAGAAAAGAAAGAAAGCAAGAAAACAACTCACCCAAAATTTTCATTCATCATGCAAAACAAATCTTAAATAAAATCGTATCACATTACTGTGAAAAACAAAAAAAGACAGGCCTGTACTCTTCCCCTAATACTGACTGCTATAGTAAGGCCTGATGCCTATCTCTTTATGTTATTTCTGAGATTGACCGAATTAATCTTGAACAGCACAATTAATTGAATATGAAGAAACCTATATTTCTAAGTTTATATATTATTGTAAAAGATAGAAGTTTAACATACCTCATATCTATTTCATTAAATGTTGTTAACATAGCACATTCATTCTGTGCTTGTTTTAGCCTTTGAGCAGTTCTCTGTCGTATTCTAGACATGTTAACCTGAAAAGACACCATTCATTGTTTTAATAGAAACAGCCTTTTAAATGTTGTGAAAACCTCTTGTAAAAGCTTACATTATTCAATTTAAGCACAGGGTTCATGCTACAGGGCAACTAGCATTAAGAAGTCACTTTCCTGTCTGTCATTTTCTTTTTCCCAACCCTAAAAAGCGATATGATTTTTAAAAAAAGAACCACTTCCCCATATTATTCTGCCAATGAATTATGGCAATCAATGTTCAACTATCATTATTTAACGTGTGAGTAACTGGCAAACATTGAATCAAACACATCTTGCCATATTTGCAAATGTTTCAAGCTTGCCAAAAACCAGTAACAAAATCAGAATAGACTGAATCGACCTACACAGGTAAATGTGGCAAACTACCAATTAGCCATCAAAGAAAACAACGGTGAAAGTAAGTAAAAACTAATGGCAAAGTCCAGATAACTGACCCTTTATCTGGATTAAGCTGATGAAAATGTAAAATAATTTCTTAATAGACAAATGCACAACTGAACCAGCTGGTTCAGTTGTGCATTTGTCTATTAAGAAATTATTTTACATTTTCATCAGCTTAATCATCTTACCATGAAAATCAACTGCTTACCCTTTAGATAAACAATGGTCTTTTTTTATAATACATATTCTTTACTCAGTATTGTATGTTTTGAAGATTGTTATTTTCTCTGTGCTAAAGTCTTGGGACCTGTTAATGGCTTATATATATAATAAATGTCATTTAAATCACTTACTTTTGTTTCCGATCTAGATCCTGAAAGTGGAACATTCTGGGATGCAGGTGCAGACTTTGGTTTAATAGAATCCAAGGGTTTAGTACTAATTGGTTCTTTAGGGAGGGGAGGGGCTGGTGGAGGTGCAGTTGGTATGGGACCACTTGTTGATGATGCAGGAGCTGCCTCTGCTTTTGGTGGTTGAGGGGGCTGTTGTGTAGGTGATGGAGTTTCTGCAGCAGGAGCTGATTTTGGTGCTGAATCAACAGCAGCATCTGAAATAAACACATATACATACTGTAAATTCAGTAGTTATTCATTACAGCAGCATCTGAAATAAACACATATTCATACTGTAAATTCAGTAGTTATTCATTACAGCAGCATCTGAAATAAACACATATTCATACTGTAAATTCAGTAGTTATTCATTACAGCAGCATCTGAAATAAACACATATACATACTGTACATTCAGTAAGGCCTAAATTAAAATACTGTTTGTTTGCCCTTTTCCTACCCTATTTTTTGAAATAGGGTAGGTAGGTAGGTAGAATATTCTATTTTTCTTTGCCAAAAAATAACTTGGCACGGTACATTTTTTTCATGGGCAGGTAGGTAGGTAGGTAAAATATTTTATTTTATTTGATAGATATGATATCTGCCTGATATCATTTTTGTCTGTACTGCTTTTGTATATGTATGCTTTGTTCGGTATCTTCTTTAAAATATCTTTAAATCCTTTCATATGCATCATCTGCATTTAACTTCTTTGTATGCACATATACCTGCATGGCTTAAATGCACACTGTAGTATATGCACCCTACTTTCCCAAACCAACCATTGTAGAATGCTAGTTAGTTTATAACATATCTGCATGTTGGGTGTCACAGTGCAAAATGGCACATGGATCAATAACCAGTCCCTCTAAGCACATGGAAACTGGGGGTTCTAACTAGTGCTGCAGACCAAACAGAGGGCTTGAAGAATCATTCTGCTCTTGATTGAAGTAAAAGAAAAGAGAAAGGCATTACCAGATTCACTAATTTCAAATTCATATATTTTAGATTTCAATAACTTATCGTTTACCGTAATCTTTCTATATTATTAGTAGACTGAAATTATATACAGAATTTTTCCATTCCTGTCAGAAATGAAAACAAAAGATATATCTGAAGCATGTTTTATTTACATACTAACAATTTTAACAGTATCTGAACTAAAATAACCTGAGACATAGCTGTGAACTTTAGAGAATCTCAATAACATTATCATTAAAATCTGCCTCAAACGTTTCCTGTGATCCACCAGTGTGCAATTTCACTGTGACATGTTCCTTGTCAAAGGCATTGTTAACAAGGTCATCCTGATTTGATCACCAAAAGCCACCCATGCAACATCATCCCAAACTTTCTTTGTACAAACGTTGAAAATTTTGTTTTGGACACACAGTTTCTTGAATTAATTAATGTGACACACAGGGCAACGTTCGTCATGTTTTTCAAACATTCGACATCGATGTCAAACCAATGCTTTAAATCTCAAATCATGCCGGTAATCAAGTCAAACGCTCCTGTGATACTGAACAGCCTTAACCTTATCAGAGAAAGAAAAAACCAAAGGATTCGCATAAAAAAAGTTTGGAGCGGTAAATACAAATATAAGATTTTCGGTCGCAACAAAAAATCAATTTAACAAGCATTCTGAGAGTATTGCATGGCAATACATAGTCCCCTACCGGTTAAAAATTCATTGTATTGGAACAAAATGCTAACTTGGTCTATAACTTGTCATGGTGTTAACTGCATAACAAATATCAAGTCAATATCTTCAAGCATGACGAAAAAAAGTGTTGAAAACTGATTATTTAAGTGAATTTTCTAAGTCCAAGGACCATAACTCTGAACAAAATCATCAGACCGGAACAAAATTTGAACATGATCTGTAACTTGTCATGATAAAACTATACACTAATTAGCAAATCAATATCTTTAAGCATGACGAAAAAAAGTGTTGAAAACTGATTATTTAAGTAAATTTTCTAAGTCCAAGGACCATAACTCTGAAAAAAATCATCAGACCAGAACAAAATTTGAACATGATCTGTAACTTGTCATGATAAAACTATACACTAATTAGCAAATCAATATCTTCAAGCATGACGAAAAAAAGTGTTGAAAACTGATTATTTAAGTGAATTTTCTAAGTCCAAGGACCATAACTCTGCACAAAATCATCAGACCGGAAAAAAACTTGTCATGATAAAACAATACACCAAAAATCAAATCAATATCTTCAAGCACGAAGAAAAAAAGTGTGGAAAACTGATTTGCCGGACGGACAGACAGACAAATGGAGTGCAAACCTAAAGTCCCCTTCGACTTCGTCGGTAGGGGACTAAAAAATCTTTTGCAACTTTCATCCATTTTTTTTGGTGTGGTCAGCCTGGATTTTCTAACCTTTCATCTTGTGCTCTGACAGCATTGTAGATATTCTAGAATCCCTCTTTTTTGACAGATTGAAAAAATTAGTCAAACTTTGTTTCATAAAAAGAATGGCTAACAGATCATATATCTTGGTTTGGGAAGGAACAATCATATACTTTGTAAAATACCACTTAGATTCAAACAAAAAAGTTCACTCTTTTGTGCTGTGTTTTGTTCTTGGTTTTGGTGCAAGAAGGGGCAGTAAAACCTTCACTGTATTCGTTGCTTGTATTTTGCAACCCTGTACAATGCAATTAAATGGATAATGATATATTTACAGTTTGATTTCTTTTGATATAAAATGCCATCCAAGAAAATTGCGAAATAAGTCTCTCATGGAAATTTCCTGTTATACAATATTTGTGTTGTTAGCATAACTTTTCCAATGTTTCTTTTTGTGGTAATTTTGGTAACTTTTTCTGCCATCTTCAATGCCAAAATGATTATAAATCTAATCTGCAATTTGATTGTTAGCATGGAAGTCCTCATCTCTTATTTTCTTTGTCAGCATAACAATTTTCAAGTGTATTTGTAGTTCTTGTCTTTTACTTTTGCTGTCAGCCAACTGTAGTATTTTTTGTACTTATCATGGTAATTTTTACCTGTTATTTTTAATTTAAAAAGAGGTGTCCCTGCTGTTACAGTTTGTCCATCTTCAACTAAGTATTCTTCTACTATTCCACTTTTAGGGGATGGAACTGGTACAGAAGTCTGAAATTATAAATAGAAAATGGATTCATTATCAGTCCAAAATGGAATTTGATCAGTGATTTGGATTAAAATGACCAAAGATATTACCGAGGATTAATATAAACTATTAAATTTGAAATCTGATTATTGTAGTTTATAATTTAATTATGTTGCAATATAAATTGAAAGGACCAATTACATGGTTCTGAAGCTTCTACCAGGTACATTTGGGAAATTCAATTAAACAAGGACCATAACTCTGCACAAAATTATTAGACCAAAACAAAAATTTGAACTTGATCTGTAACTTGTCATGATAAAACTATATACCAATTATCAATCAATATCTTATAAGCATAATGAAAAAAAAACATTAGATATGATTAATAATTCTCTAGAATTAGATATGATGTATGTAATACAGTGTATATCTACTTTCAAATTATAATCAGATATAATAAATAGTTCAAATATTTTTTTCTTTCATTTGTCACAAACTAATATAGATTTGTAACTTATCTATAAAATGTCAACAACTTTTATCTACACAATGTAATGTATAGAAATATATACATTAATAAAAAAAGATTATTATCTAATTAAAGGATTTCTCTTCATAATTTTTTTTATATATATATAGCATTCAGAAAATTAGTTTATACTAAATAACAAACAAACCTGTCAAAAAATTCTTCAAATAATTTAACAAAGAATGTCTTTTAAAAAATGAGTTATCTCCCTTTGTACAGAAATATGGTTTAACATAGTATTCTAACATTAGATATGGTCCAGAGTTATGGTCCATAACTCTGGACTAAATCATCAGACCGGAAAAAAATTCGAACTAGATCTATAACTTGTCATGATAAAACTATATACCAAATATCAAATAATATCTTCAAGAACGAAGAAAAAAAGTGTGGAAAGCTGATTTACCGGACTGACGGATGGACAGACGGACAGACGGACAGATGGACAGATGGACGGAGTGCAAACCTAAAGTCCCCTTCGACTTCGTCGGTAGGGGACTAATTAGTGAGCATATCTATTGTTTAAAAATTGATTCAAGATTTTTCTTCATGTATGATAATGAAAAAAAAACTGAGAAAAGGTATATTATAAACAGAGGTGTGTTTATCTTTGTTGACTTTGAAATTAATCTTCCGAAACACAACCTTGGAAAAAACCTATGGAAACAAAAAGGATCATAATTATATATCCTTTAGTTAAGATGACTTTAGGGTAAAATGATGACTTGATGTAGAGATTATCGCTTATATGGTAATGTGGAAAATATAAAAACAAACCGGGTGACCCAAAGTTACTTTGTCAAAGCAGCAGAAAGCTAATCTGCATTGTGAAATACGACGGAAGGAAGACAAACATAGACTGAACAACTACTTTTGACTATGTAACACTAGTAAAAGTATCTGAATCTATTGAAAAGGGATGTTTGATGATTTATGGTTACAAAATGTAAGTTGTAAAGAAAAAAATTATGTTGCCCAATGTAAATATTGTGAAACTGAAATCTTGGTGTTGCTCAAAGATTTATTAGACAGTAGAATAGAACAAAATTAGAGGAATATCATATTAACTGATGAAACACCATTGTCCATAGTTGCCAACTCACATGATATTCGCGTGTAATACACGCTTTTTCAACGGTTTACACGTGAAGATTTTGTCATATGGCGTGTACACGCTTTTTGCAACTTTACAACCATTACACGTTTTTTCCTTGTTTTGATTTTTTGTTCGTTAGTGATATCGCGATTCTCAGATTTTTTCATATATAGACGATAAATACCAAAAATTTCGAAGTATTTGTTTGGTCGCCATTGTTTATTTTTTTATATGGACTAACTACTAAAGCCCTTCAGGTAAGTTTGTGAGTAGTTTTTAAGGTTTTAAATTAGTTACTTTCTTTCTTTCAAATTCACTTTGGGGAAATGACTAGCAGAAAAATATTGCTTTTTCGACCTGTACCGTCGTCTAAAGAGCAGAGTGCTAAGCGAAAACGATACGTGTGTACGTACCAAAAAATTTGGGAGCCCGAGTTTAAATGGATCAAAGGCATATTAATTACAAAGTATTATGCATCTTAAACATTATCAATCATTTGCAATCATAACAACATGTGTGAGAGGAGTACTAGCTATTTGATAAAACATCCAAAGGTATTTAAATTATAAAATTATTTTTCTTTTTCACTTTCAGTTTCAAATCAAGGCTTTAGCCAACAGATTTCCACATGCCATATGGGATGGGAATATCACAGAACTGTTGGATCAGTTCTCAGAGTACCAGCTGTCTTCTCCTGATGAACTACCCAGCTTTGACCAGGAAATAGCAATATTCTGGGGAGCAATTGCAGACATAGATGAAATTTTTATGACAAAAAACGTTATTACATTCTTTCAAAGCTTGCTTAACAGCTAAAGCTATTCTAATTCTGCCAAATAGCAATTCTGACTGTGAGAGACCGTTTTCAATTATAAAGAAGATTTACACTGAATTCAGATCAGAACTCAACAATGATAAATTGTGTGCATTGTTACATGTATCATGTAAATTTAACCAAACTGGCAGTTGTTTTGAATATGTGCCTAGTTGTGTTGTTTTGAAAGCAGCAAAACAGGCCACTGTTGAATACAATAAAAGTTTACAGTAGAATACTGTTTTTTATATTGAGAAATTTGTATAATGTTCATATTAAAAAGTCCGCATCTACATCACACGTTTTCACACGCTTTTTGACATGTCATGTCATAACATGACATGATTTGTCATTGTCAGAGGTTGGCAACTATGCTATTGTCATAGGTAAGAAAAATAAAGTGCATATCTGGTATACTGACTAGGAAAGCCACTGTCGTAATGCCTCTGTGAACACTCTGACCCCGCCTTTATTAGCAGGACTTCTGTCATGTTTTCAGGCTGTATCACCTACATGATGGGGTAGGCACATTTGTACCAGTATTTGGTATTTATAAATTCACCCAAAAATTTTGAGATCGTGGAAGAAAATTTGTGGCCAGTTGTGATGAAATGAAGATATTATGTTGATAACGCGACTCCTCCTCATTCTAGAGCTACCATTGAGTGGAAGAGATAATAAAATGCTTCGCTGGGGCGCAGCTTGATACGACCGCAGAGGTCAAACCCTGAACAGTTGGGGCAAGTATGGACACAACATTCAAGCTTGATACAGCTCTGAATTTGGATTGTTATTAAATATTTGACACAGCATAGGTTTCTGACACAGAAAGAATGTGGTCTAAGAACTTGAATTTTTTTAATTTACCTATATTATGGTCCAATGTCCAAAATCAAAATACATGGTTAGATTCAGCATATCAAAGAACCCCATATATTCAATTTTTGTTGAAATCAAAAAAAGTTTAATTTTGGACCCCAACTTGGACCAACTTGAAAACTGGGCCCATAATCAAAAATCTAAACACATGTTTAGATTCAGCATATCAAAGAACCCCAAGAATTCAATTTTTGTTAAAATCAAACTAAGTTTAATTTTGGACCCTTTGGACCTCAATGAAGACCAATTTAAAAAACGGGACCCAAATTAAAAATCTAAAAACACGGTTAGATTTGGCATATCAAAGAACCCCAATAATTCAATTTTCGATGAAATCAAACAAAGTTTAATTTTGGACCCTTTTGACCTCAATATGAACCAATTTGATAGCGGGGCCTACAAATAAAAAATCTAAATACATGGTTAGATTCAGCATATCAAAGAACCTCATATATTCAATTTTTGTTGAAATCAAACAAAGTTTAATTTTGGACCCCAATTTGGACCAACTTGAAAACTGGGCCCATAATCAAAAATCTAAATACATGTTTAGATTCAGCATATCAAAGAACCCCATATATTCAATTTTTGTTGAAATCAAACAAAGTTTAAATACTGGACCCTATCTTGGACCAACTTGAAAACTGGGCCAATAATCAAAAATCTAAACACATGTTTAGATTCAGCAAATCAAAGAACCCCAAGAATTCAATTTTTGTTAAAATCAAACTAAGTTTAATTTTGGACCCTTTGGACCTCAATGTAGACCAATTTAAAAAACAGGACCCAAAATTAAAAACCTAAATACACGGTTAGATTTGGAATATCAAAGAACCCCAATAATTCAATTTTAGATGAAATCAAACAAAGTTTAATTTTGGACCCTTTTGACCTCAATATGAACCAATTAGATAACGGGGTCCACAAATAAAAAATCTAAATACATGGTTAGATTCAGCATATCAAAGAACCCCATATATTCAATTTTTGTTGAAATCAAACAAAGTTTAATTTTGGACCCCAATTTGGACCAACTTGAAAACTGGGCCAAAAATCAAAAATCTAAATACATGTTTAGATTCAGCATATCAAAGAACCTCATATATTCAATTTTTTCTAAAATCAAACAAAGTTTAATTTTGGACCCTTTGGACATTAATGTAGACCAATTTGAAAACTGGACCCAAAATTAAAAATCTAAATACACTGTTAGATTCGGCATAACAAATAAATAAATGTGATCAAAGATTTTACAAATCTAATGCGCCATACTGTGCAATAAAAGATTACTTCTTGAAATTTTTCAATATTTGAAATTTGAAAAAAAAAAAAATATTTGAAGAATAATTCTTTTTAATTTCTGAAATCTGAAATGAGAAAAAATTGGCCCCCCACAATTTCTTTTTATTCCCCCCCCCCCTTTTTCCCCCAAAAAAATTCTTTCCCTCAAGATATGGTCATAATCTCAATTCAAATTTCCAATGGAGTAGGCAACCATAATTACCCATTTAAATTTACCATAGTGCTAACTTAATCTATTTTATAATAGAATTAATAAAAATATAGTGTCAAATCTTTCATATGGATTTTTTTGTAAAAAAAAAGATGAAAACATTTGCAGATATTTTTACTGGTCTTCCTTTATAAATATGCATTTCTTTAAACATAATTTAAAAGCAGTGTAAGGGAAGTAACCAAAACATTGTATTTGGATTACCTCCCTTACACTGTTTTAGATTATCTTTATTGTTCATTAACCATTACTTTATACATAATTTAAAAGCAGTGTAAGGGAGATAATTTCAATGATGTATTTGATTTATCTCCCTTACACTGCTTTAAATTATGTTTTGTACTAAAGTATTTGTCCATTAACCAGGACAACCTTGTTTTTCCCCCTTTTTTGCCCCTAATTCCTAAACGGTTTGAGCCATAACCCCCCAAAGCAAATCCTAACCATCCCTTTGTGGTATGGAAACTTGTAGTATAATTTCAGAGAGATCCATACACCGTTCCACAGTTATTGTCTGGAAACTAGAAAATGCTCATTTTTGGCCCCTTTTTGGCCCCTAATTCCTTAACTGTTGGTACCATAACCCCCAAAATCAATCCCAACCTTCCTTTTGTGGTATTTAACCTTATGGTCAAATTTCAAAAAGATCCATTCACTTAAACTAAAGTTAGAGTGCGAAAACCAATATGTATTCGGACGACGACGACGCCGGACGACGACGACGACGACGACGACGACGACGCCAACGTCATACCAATATACGACCACAAAATTTTTTTGCGGTCGTATAAAAACAATATTCCAAATATGCTTTACCAGCACAAGACCCTGATCTTAAATGTTGTAGAAAATGTATGGAGAAAGCTTTATATTCTGTGGATGAAACAGGAACATAGAATTAAAAGCAGACAGGAAGTAATGGCAGCAGTATTGGGCATTGGTTAAACATTCTCTTCAGTGTATATGAGGACTATTTTAAGAGAAAATGATTCCATAAACAAGTATTGAAAGTCTTGGTGAGTACATTTTATTGAATAGAATTTTTTATTTCACCAAATTTATGCTTGCTTAAAAAAGTTTATAGAACAATTGCCATTCTTATGAATCATTTTCGACCTGATAAAGTATATATATATTTTACAAATGAATACCTTATCTGTTTCTATTTCACATACGACATCATCTTCCTTTACAAAGTCACCAACCGCTAAAAAGAGATAAATAAACTTAGTAACCAATACACAGCTCTTTCAAATTGTTTTAAAATGAATATGAGCTGGAATATGTGCTATTCATTTTTCAAGAGAATTATGAAAAAGGAAGAACACTTTAATGTTTTCTTCTAGATATGTTAAAAAAGTCCATAAGACCAAGAGTACTGTCTAATGAGTCAACTAAATTTTTTTGGGTAAAAACCATGTACTTTTACTTTGGCACCCGGAAAGAACATCAAACCTGTACATATATAATTTCATTAAATTGGATCTAAGTAACATATGTTGCCTGCAATGAAATTTACAAGGACATAAATTGAAATGGCTAATGGTACTTATAACAATATTTTTTTCACTGACAAAAAATTTGATAAGAATACAACTTCAATATATAATGATAATTTTCAGCAGAGTTCAAAGGTGTGAAACCCCATAATAAAATGTCACCTTTTTTTCAGAAATCTGATAATTAAATCTTTGGTTGTAAACCATGTTATTCTTAAATTACAGTTTGCTACCTTTTTCAAGTTTAACATCTCCATCAGATATAGAGTCAGCAAAACTAGGTGTATTTACTACCACAACTTCATTATCTGAAACAGATTCAAATTTAATTAGGACTGTTCTATCCAGGTAATGCAAAATAAAGATAATGAAGGTTGTCATAAAATAATGAAGACATAACACATTGTTTTCCCTTTAAAACTATCTAGCCTTTATCAATTGATTCAAATTGTGAGATCCTCCCCTGGGTTCCCCAATTTTTTAATCAAACATTCTAAAACTAACATAATTTCAATTTAGGATGAGTTTTGTGTTCAAATATATTACTTTTAAAATAAAAAAAAGAGAGTTCCAATGTCCCCCTCATTGCATATATTTTATCTATCCAAGAGAGATAAAAAACTTAAACTTTAAAACTTTTTATAAATATTTTAAAGAAATGAAGGCTTGAGAGAAAATACAATGCAATTTCCAGTATACTTAATATTTCCAAGGGGCATAACTCTTTTAAAAATAATTGATTAGCACCAATTTTGTAACTTGTCCAAGCCATTGCTGATATAAACCTATGATATAAGTTTCATAAAAATCTTGCAAGGATTGTACACATGAGAGCGCTTACAATGCAATTTTCCGTATAATGAACATTTCAAAGGGGCATAACTCTTTTAACAATAATTGATCGGCACCGAATTTCGAAATTGTCAAAGACACTGCTAATATAAACCTATGATATAAGTTTTATAAAAATCTGGCAAGAATTGTACACATGAGAGCGTTAACAATGCAATTTTCCATATAATTAATATTGCAAAGGGGCACAACTCTTTTTAAAAATATTTGATCGGCACCAATTTCCAAACTTGTCAGAGACATTGCTGATATAAACCTATGATATAAGTTTTATAAAAATCTGGCAAGAATTATACACATGAGAGCGCTAACAATGAAAATGTCCACATAATCAATATTTCCAAGGGGCATAACTCTTTCAAAAAGAGTTGATCAGCACTGACTTTCAAACTTGTCCAAAATATTGCCGATATAAACCCATAAGTTTTATAAATTGTGGCAAAAATTGTACATGTGAGAGCGCTAACAAGGCTGGATGGACAGACGCATAGATGGACTGACAGACAGATGTACGGATGCCCGGTATTTCTATGTCCCCTGCAACACCTCATGCGGGGGAAATAAAAGCATTACCAGCCACTGCGAATTGTTAATCTTTCCAAGGGCCATAATTATAATAATTATTTATTGTAATTATAATATTTTTCATAAAAATAAAGAAATGAAACCTGAGAGCACTTACAATACAACTTCCCATACAATAACATTTGCAAGGGACAAAACTACTGTAAAAATAGTTGATTGGCACTGATTTTGAAAACAATCTCATCATTGCAGATATAAACCTTTGACATAAATTTCAAGGAAATAAATGGGACACAGATGATGCCCCTGCTTGCATAATGTTATAAAGGGCATACATAACCAGAGAATGGTAAAAGTGACACCATCCAAATTCGAACTTGATCTGTGTTTTGTGGTAATAAGCATTGTGTATAAGTTTCATAAAATTTGATTGAGGCATATTCATGTTGGTGTCTAACTCTCATATCAATATAAAAGTGGAAACATATTTAAGACAAAATAACTGTATATACTTTTAAGGTAATGAAATAATTTGATTATACTTACAGTAACAATTAGACACATGGAATTTTCTGGTAAAAATAAACTGACTGTGGTTGCAACATGACTTTGATATTCTGAAAATTAATTACTTTTATGTTATATGAATTTTATATTTGAAAAATGTGCAACATAATATACCAAACTTTTTTCATTAATCATAGAAAGCTCCTTGCTGATTTCTGGCTACTCTGTAGATGTCTCTTCAGTTTTGTTGTGTTGTTGAGTTGCTGTCATACTAGCTGAATTTGACACATGTTAAATTAGTAAAAATCATTTTTTCATCCAAACTGTTTGTATGAAATACAATGAATGTACTGGTAGTTAAAAAAAAATCAAGAATCAAGTAATGTTTTATAAAAGGCAGCACAAAAAATCCATATGAAATATAATGGAATATGAGATTCATAATTGTACCAAGTTATAAAATTCAATGATAGTCTAACTGAAATCATTTTACATGGTGTTTTGGAGAGGGGATACATACTTCCAATGATTTTAAATGAAACTAGACGCTCAAAGGAGCATTTATCTATCATCTGTCAATTTTGCATAAAATCTATACAATGCAATGAGAATATTTCATGTAGATTAAAAAAAAAATGCCCTAAAAATTCAGTAGTTTCTCTCCATCTACTACAGTTAATCCAAAATAATACAACATGGTTAACAATCATAATACAAGGGCAATAACCCCCATAAGAAGTCAACTGACAATTAATTCCATGTTGACGTAATAATAGATCTTGTCCTGCTAGTCAATTTTGCTATCTACAGTTTCTTTCAATCTACCAAAGTTTCTGCCAAAAAAAACCCACAGAAATAGGTAATAAAGTGTTATAAGGGCAACAACTTCTATAAGGTGTCCACAGAAGACTTTGGCCATGCTGACTGATTTGTAGATCTTGTCCCACTGATAATCTTTGCTGCTTACAGCTTCTCGGTTGAAAATCTTCATTTAAGGGCAGTTTCTCTCTATCAACTATAGTTTGAAGGAATAAACACAAAATGGGTAAAAAGGGTCTTTCAAGGGCAATAACTCTTAAAGGGAGTCGACTATCAATTTTAGCAAATTTGAATAATCCGTTGATCTTGTTCTACTGATAAATTTCCCCTGTTGATAGTTTCCTTCTATCTACTATAGTTTCTGCAATAAACAAAAATGTGTAAAAAATCATCTTTCAAAGGCAACAACTCCTACAAGGATGAAACCTTAAACCTTTTGTCTTACCTTTAGAATTCAAAGGTTGAGAGGATTAATCTTATTTTTTAACAAATAAAAAGTAACTTGCAGAAATAACAATTCTGATCATTTAATTATTTTTAAGTTGTGTAAATCTGTATTCTCAGTGATTTTGCTAGCGCTAGTCATTTTCGTCATTTACGAAAAGGTTTTCAAAATGAAGAAAGTTTGGAAATTAATTTCGTCACTTAAATTTTGAAAAGTGTAAAAATACTTCGCATGAAAATACTATAATTCTACCTGTCTTCGTGTTTTTGACAAGTTTATGACCCTCATCCAATTAACGTTAACAACAGGTGTTATAAGTTGTGATTACAGGTAACCCGCTTATCGCCATCGGATGGGTCACTAATCCGTTAATTAATAAACCTCATAAGTTATTGACCATCATAATTATTTTTCCCAGTAAAATCTGTCAGTTGCATTTTAATTTCAATATTTCTCACACGACCACAATTTGCAGTTTGTTTATCATAGTTTCGTCATTTGAACAAAATGTTTTCCCCCGCGGACAGTTCGCATTTTAATTTCAATATTTCTCAAACGATCACAATTTGCAGTTCGTTTGTCGTAGTTTCGTCATATGAACGAATTTTCGTCATATTTTTTATAACTTTTTATCAAAAACTTTCAACAATTTTGAATAAAGAGAAAGAACTTTATTCAAAACGTTAAGAAATATTTCCACGAGTCAAACAGGTGCTTCCTTACTATGTACTGCCCCTGCATGAAAGTATTCTTATGAATTAGACATTAAAACGTAAAATACGAAATCATTAAGTATCAAAATAAACGAAGGAGACAAATATATTTCTTACTAAGCAACTTGATTTAGAAATATGATAATTTACTGCCTTTTGTTAATAAACAGCTGCGCCATGAGCGCATGATACGCCCGTCACATTTTCAAAGAATAAAGTTCAATTACTTCTCAATGTAATATCAGAAATTTAAGTTTCATGAGAACTGCTGAAAGCATTTTTGAGGTATTGTCTGAAAACTGGAAAATCCCCCCTTTTTTAATGAATAAAACACCATAACTCAGAAATGTATAATCTAAAATTTATAAAATTCGAAAGGGAGCTTACATCAATAGATATAAACAATTCACCAAAGTTTCATGAGAACTGCTAAACGCATTTTGGAGTTATTGTCCGAAAACTGTAAACTGCCCCTTTTTTCATGAATAAAACCCCATAACTCAGAAACGTAAAATCTAAAATTTATGAAAATGGAAAGGGAGCTATGTCAATAGATATAAACAATTCACCAAAATTTCTTGCAAATTGGTGAAGGCATTTTTGAGTTATTGTCCGAAAACTGGAAAATCACCCTTTTTTTAATGAATAAAACCTCATAACTCGGAAACGTAAGATCTGAAATTTATAAAATACGAAAGGGAGCTCATGTCAATAGATATAAACAATTCACCAAAGTTTCATGCAAATTGGTTCAAGCGTTTTTGAGTTAATGTCTGACATGTTGACAAGGGACGGACGGACAGAAGGACGAACAGAGGTATACCATAATACGTCCCGTAAACAGGCGTATAAAAATGAACCAATCAGTAGATGAATCAGGATTCATTCTAAATTTATTATCCTCCTGTCACTTCCAGTTTTCATTTCGTTTAAAAATCGAAAGTAAACAACAGGGCTCACACTACTTCAGAATCATAGGGAGAAGTGACTTCTCTTTTTGAAATTGAGAGGGAGAAGTGGTGAGATTTGAAAGAGAAGTGCTTGTTCGCTCGCGGGGCTACAATGTTTGAATTTTACTATAATACATTAAGGGCCATATGTATCTTATCTTTTTTATATTGTTCAATTTGTACCTGGGTATACAATTAACATGATTAAAGTATCTGTTCAAATTTAAAGTTGTTTAATTTTATCATATCTAGTTGCACAATCAAATGAGTTCTCTTGTCAGAAATACAATTAAATATAAATTAAAATAAAAATAAAATTCAATTAAAAAAACTACTCTGTAAGCATGTTATTTCTCATTAAAAAGATATATATATATTTAACAGTTAAGCTTGGACATAATATAATTATATCAGTGTAATAGTCCCAGAGTTGAGCAAATTTAACTTATTAATTGAAACAATGCATATCCATGGAAATATATACATTAATCAAGAAGATCTCACCAAAAGTATGTTAATGCGTGTGGAATGCGTAATTTTTCCATTTGGGATCAATTTTTGTCTGTCAGTAGTGCCATTCATGCGACCATAGTCATTATCGCAAGAATCCGGATTTCGGTCATGGTGGGTCCATTTCCGATGAAATCCTGATTCCGATCCGTAGTTGTACAATAATATGCCCAATAATTTAAATGTCTGACGAAGAAAAATTTACAAAAATAAACGATGTTTGACACGCTATTTGGAAAGGAATATGACGTTTTTAATGCAATACATGGATAACAAGTTTACTTCAGGCAAATTTCATCAAGTTCTAATGAAGTAATAACTTATTTTGCCGAAAGTTAGAATGATTTCGTGTAACAAGTACCGGAAGTGATAACAAATTGTTTTTATGAAATAACATGCCACCAGCTTAAAAATCAATGCTTTAACCTTTTTTTTGGAGAAAATAAATCGTTTATTGCTTGAATTTCATTACTTTTAAATGAAAATTGCTGTTTCATCGACTTGGTAAAAATTGAATATTGCTGATGACGAAAGCGAATGAAAGCGAGTATCGTAAACAACAGGGCGACTTGTTTTCGCTTTTGGGGGTCGGGCAAAGCGAAGTGACGGACAGGGAAAGCGACTTCTTCGCCCTAGTCGCCTGGTAGCGTGAGCCCTGAAACAAGATCTATTCTTGATACAATATACAGTCATTAGAATCTTTCCAACAATGGTTCCAAGTTTATAGAAATGAATTCCAAATACATGTATTGATTTAACCGTTTTCACAAGGATAATGATTATTCAGTGAAAAAGTCGTTATAGGTTTAATTATGCTGTGATTCCTGGTTTTTAAAAAAACTTTTGTTGATCAGGAATGTCCCTTGAAAATACCTGAAGTGAAATTGTAAACTAGAAATCTGGATCCTTATTAGATCTTATTATAATCTTCATATTTAAGCACCACATCTATCAAATTATGCAATAACTGCCTGGGCATGGCTAAGTTCTTCAAAGATGTATAGCTAGTAATACATATCTTTGGTCCATTGCTTTTACCCCAAAAAAGGTTGATTTTTATCTTGCGCAAAAGTGACTAAAGCAATCAAAATCCTAGCTGAAACCGAAAAGTCAATGTAAAATGAAAACTAGATATCTATGAATTTTAGAAAAAGAAAAAGACCTAGCTTCAACTATGCAGATTACTCACTTGTCAACATTTAAAAGGTCTGTAGTCTTGTTACATTGCGATAAACCTAAAATAAGAAATATATATATGTTAGCCTCAAATCTATGTCCAGCCTCAAATCTATGTCCAGCCTCAAATCTATGTCCTTTCCACAAATCTATGTCCTTTTTAATATTGCGTCATAGACGTTCCAAATTCATGTCCTTTATTGTCTCAAATCTATGTCTTTTATTGTCTCAAATCTATGTCCTGTATTGTCTCAAATCTATGTCCTTTATTAAATCAAATCTATAGCCATTTTTGTCTCAAATCAATGTCCTTTATCGAAATGTGGTGACGTAAGACATAACAAGACACAATAAACACAATAAATTATACCCTAAACATATTTATGTGGTACCTTTACATTAAAACACTGAACAAAACCTTTGTAAATAGGTGTATGTGTTTATATCTTACGATACAGAATAGGTTTAACATGTTTAATTCATTGTTGAGGGCTGTACATTATCTTTATTTGCTTGTATACAGATGTCATTTTGTCTCAGGTTGTTTATTAACTTATATTTCGTATTTGTTATCAAGACGTAATAAGTAAAGTAAAGTAACGATAATTACTACAGAACAATTAAAGGGGCACTAGCTGTCAAATTCATGTTCACCGATTTGACTCAAATTCTCATATTTGATTTAAAACCATGTAAAACATTTATCCAAATTATTAAAAGGCAAAAATAATCAATTTACAGGGCATGGGCTCGACAATATGTAGCTTCGTTTCGTGTGTATTTTAGTCTAGACACAATCTAATTAACTATCGAGTTGACCTTCGAATACCTCTGATGGTCATATAAGCAATATAAACATAAATATAGATATAAATAGAAACCGGATTCGTGCAATTGGATTTTTCTAGGTCTGTTTAATTTCATATTATAGATGAAATATATATATTAATCATAGTTTTTACCTGTATAAGAATGATTTTTTTGTGGATCGAATCAGTCAATCAAATGATTTACCTTTGTTTCACTTTCAATGTTGACATTCTTTTCCTTTAAATAACTCAGCATGCATGATTCACGAGTTATCCTTTCTAGCCAAGGGGTTAAATTGAAGTTCACATGAATACGGATTCAATGAGGTCGAATTATTCACTTGCAAGTTTTTTTACATATTTTATATTTTTTATATATCTTGTAGCTAGTGCCCCTTTAAACACAGGATCAAGAAAAGCAAACAATTTGAAAATGTTGTGGTTTTATAATAAAATGTAAATCATACAATAATTACACATGCTTGTAGAATTTTTAAGCACACATGGAGAACACATCCCAACTTAACATTGAATTATGGCAAATGACTTAATAAAACAAAAATCATATATGGCCGTACTTATTAGACGGGCATAAATTTGAGCATGTCGAAACAACCTGGAATAAAATGCTTCGCTGGGCGCAGCTTGATACGACCGCAGAGGTCGAACCCTGAACAGTTGGGGCAAGTATGGACACAACATTCAAGCTTGATACAGCTCTGAATTTGGATTGTGATTAAATATTTGACACAGCATAGGTTTCTGACACAGAAAGAATGTGGTCTAAGAACTTCAATTTTTTTAATTTACCTATTATGGTCCAATGTCCAAAATCAAAATACATGGTTAGATTCAGCATATCAAAGAACCCCATATATTCAATTTTTGTTGAAATCAAACAAAGTTTAATTTTGGACCCCAACTTGGACAAACTTGAAAACTGGTCCCATAATCAAAAATCTAAACACATGTTTAGATTCAGCATATCAAAGTACCCGAAGAATTCAATTTTTGTTAAAATCAAACTAAGTTTAATTTTGGACCCTTTGGACCTTAATGTAGACAAATTTAAAAAACGGGACCCAAAATTAAAAATCTAAAAACACGGTTAGATTTGGCATATCAAAGAACCCCAATAATTAAATTTTTGATGAAATCAAACAAAGTTTAATTTTGGACCCTTTTGACCTCAATATGAACCAATTTGATAGCGGACCCACAAATAAAAAAATCTAAATACATGGTAAGATTCAGCATATCAAAGAACCCCATATATTCAATTTTTGTTGAAATCAAACAAATTTTAATTTTGGACCCCAATTTGGACCAACTTGAAAACTGGGCCAAAAATCTAAATCTGAATACAGTTTAGATTCAGCATATCAAAGAACCCCATATATTCAATTTTTGTTGAAATCAAACAAAGTTTAATTTTGGACCCCAACTTGGACCAACTTGAAAACTGGTCCCATAATCAAAAATCTAAACACATGTTTAGATTCAGCATATCAAAGAACCCCTAAAATTCAATTTCTGTTAAAATCAAACTAAGTTTAATTTTGGACCCTTTGGACCTTAATGTAGACCAATTTAAAAAACAGGACCCAAAATTAAAAATCTAAATACACGGTTAGATTTGGCATATCAAAGAACCCCAATAATTCAATTTTTGATGAAATCAAACAAAGTTTAATTTTGGACCCTTTTGACCTCAATATGAACCAATTTGATAGCGGGCCCACAAATAAAAAATCTAAATACATGGTAAGATTCAGCATATCAAAGAACCCCATATATTCAATTTTTGTTGAAATCAAACAAAGTTTAATTTTGGACCCCAATTTGGACCAACTTGAAAACTGGGCCAAAAATCTAAAATCTAAATACATGTTTAGATTCAGCATATCAAAGAACCCCATATATTCAATTTTTGTTGAAATCAAACAAAGTTTAATTTTGGACCCAACTTGGACCAACTTGAAAACTGGGCCCATAATCAAAAATCTAAACACATGTTTAGATTCAGCATATCAAAGAACCCCAAGAATTCAATTTTTGTTAAAATCAAACTAAGTTTAATTTTGGACCCTTTGGACCTTAATGTCGACCAATTTAAAAAACGGGACCCAAAATTAAAAATCTAAATACACGGTTAGATTCGGCATATCAAAGAACCCCAATAATTCAATTTTTGATGAAATCAAACAAAGTTAAATTTTGGACCCTTTGGACCTCAATGTGGACCAATTTAAAAACGGGGCCCAAAATCCAAAAACTTAATACACGGTTAGATTCAGCATATTAAAGAACCCCAAGAATTCAAGAATAAAACCTCATTGAAATTGATCAAGAAATAAGCAATTTATACGAAGTATCTTCTTTTGCACAATACTGTGCAATTGAATATTTCTTGCTATTGCGCAATACTGTACAATTGACAATTTCTTGCTATTGCGCAATATTGTGCTTTTGGATATTTCTTGCTATTGCGCAATACTGTGCAATTGAAGATTTCTTGCTATTGCGCAATACTGTGCAATTGAAGATTTCTTGCTATTGTGCAATACTGTGCAATTGAAAATTTCTTGCTATTGCACAATACTTATTATATAATAATTTACATATCCTGTTTGGTGTGTATCTCCTACCATATCATTATTATTTGCTTTTAAATATAAATCAGAAATAACCAACTTAAAATGGAAAATTTTAAAAGAAAAAAAAAGGAAAAAAAGAAAAAAAAAAAAAAAAAAAATCCCCCCCCCCCAAATTTTTTGAACCCCCTTATGATTCATCACCCCCAAACTCAATCCCAGCCTTCCCTTTGTGGTATGGTACCTTGCAGTACAATTTCAGAGAGATCCATACACTTGAACACAAGTTATTGTCTGGAAACTAGAAAAATGCTTATTTTTGGCCCCTTTTTGGCCCCCAATTCCTAAACGTTTCGGGCAATTACCCCCAAACTCAATTCCAGCTTTCCCTTTGTGATATGGAACCTTGTAGTACAATTTCAGAAATATCCAAACACTTACACACAAGTTATTGTCATGAAACTAGAAAAATGCTTGTTTTTTGCCCCTTTTTTGGCCCCTAATTCCTAAAATTTTGAGGCAATTACCCCCAAAATCAATTACAGCCTTCCCTTTGTGATATGGAACCTTGTGGTACAATGTCAGAGAGATCCATACACTTACACACAAGTTATTGTCTGAAAGTTACAAAAATGCTTATTTTTGGCCCCTTTTTGGCCCCTAATTCCTTAACTGTTGGTACCATAACCCCCAAAATCAATCCCAACCTTCCTTTCGTGGTATTGAACCTTATGGTGAAATTTCATGGAGATCCATTCACTTAAACTAAAGTTAGAGTGCGAAAACCAATGTGTCTTCGGACGACGCCAGACGACGCCGGACGACGACGACGACGACGATGACGACGCCAACGTCATACCAATATACGACCAAAAAATTTTTAATTTTTGCGGTCGTATAAAAAGATTTAAGAAAAGGACACAGTTTTGAGGCCGTATCTTTTTAACGGACATAGATTTGCGAATGACGTCACGATTGAAGACAAATTTGAAAAAAGGACACAGATTTGACGCCGTATCTTTTTTAACGGACATAGATTAGCGATTGACGTCACGATGGGGCACAGATTTGAGGCCGTACACAGATCTGAGGTTTACATATATATTCTGATCAATCAAATGAATCAAATCAAAAAACATATCTGTACAAATTTAACAGCAATCAAGCTTTGAAACAATGTAAAATCCTGTCTTATTGTCACATTTGTGTGTGTTTTTTCTCATCTAAAGATAGCTGTCAACTGACCCATATTCTGCTGGGTCACACCTGAGAATTTCCCCCTTCACACAGGATTTTTTAAATACCGGCCGGGTATTCAAATAACCCGGGATTTCAGAAAATGACCTGTTTTCACCCGTATTTCTGACCGGTATTGTTTCCAGTATTTAGAAGTCAAATATACTTTCGGTTTTCTCAGCGTTTTTCCTTTGAAAAGGTAAACAATTGAAATTAGAATTTGCTTATTTACTGTGCCAATGACAGGTATCAAAACATTACATTTGATTGAAAAGTAACAATTCGAGGATTGTTTGTCAATTGTACCCCAGAAAGTTGAAGCCAGTCAAGCTTGACATACAATTCTATGTCCTGATTAAAAGATTTGCCGTTTGCAAATATCCTCAATCCTGTAAAAATCATTTTAAAACAATTTGAACC